ACCCTGTAGTCTTCGTGGCGGAGGTCAGATGGATGCTTGTCTTCAAGAAGCAAGAGAGAATTTGAATAGGTGGAAAGGAGGAGTAGGTGTTGCAGGCATGTGCAAAGGCCAAAGGTGTCCAGGTAAAATTCCCACTCAGAGAAGGCAGGAGGGATAGGGCAGCAAGGTCGGGGGAAAGAGGTCTGTGCTCAAGAACAGTAAGAAAGCAGACACAGCTGGTCTCCTTGGAATGAAGTGTTTCATTTTCAGCAATGGCAGTGCTGCTGAAGGATTTTAATCAAAAACTGTTTAAAGGTGATTTATCTGACTGTTACATGTAGAAGGAGAGGACAATAGTTGGAAAAAGTAAGATCTACCATAAGCCTCTGGGAATGCTTTTATGTGAGTCTCAAAGCAGGTTGGTAACAGTGAACTTGTAATAAAATACAGAAGAGATACTGGCAGTTGAGTAGCTATCTGTATGGAGAGGGTGGGTCAGAGAGCCTAACAGTCACTCAATTTCACAAGGGATTTATAGTCTTGATGAACATGTTGCCTAACAGTTCAATGGTAAAATCACAGAATCACGTAGTGAATGAATAATTGAGGACTTACTTAACATCAAAGCACCGACCCGTTTTACTCTAATGTTTTACTGATTTTGAGTACAAACATCTTCGAGTGGCACCAACATACATGCTCCATGCTTTTTCACACATGGGCATATGTGCAACTATGCCTCAGGATGGAGGGTGGAGATACTAAGAGAGCCTGTACCAGGCACCAGGCCCTCAGCCAGTTGCTGGGGATAGAGAGAAAAACCACAGCCTCTGCCTTTGAGGGGCACTCAAGCTACATCCTTCCTACACAGTCAGCCATAGCTTTAATAGCCACACACAGGCTGCTGACCTCCCACCTATGTCTCCACTCCAGATGTGCACCTGCTCTCCAGCCTTGTCCAGGCATCTGTACATGAGGCTTTCTCACCCAGTGTCCACGGGGTTCTCCAACTCAGTATCTGCAGCACTGGACACATTGTCTCCTTTCCCTGGAACGTGCTCCTCCTTGCACAAGGTTCCCATCTCAGAGGATGGCAGAACCTGGGACTCCGCCCACTGCCCCACTGCCCACCTAATCCATCTGTCCTCCAGTTCTGCTGCTTCTGCTTCCTGAGTATCTGTCCTCTCCAGCCACTCTAGTCATCTCCATCGTTACCTCTGGAGCAGGCTACCACTTTGCCTGCCAAGACTCCACCTGGCCTCCCAGCAGGCCACCCTCCCATCCCCTGCCCGGGCAGCAGCCAGTGTGACCTTTCTAAAGTGAATATACGACTGAGTCACTGATGTGCTTAAAAATCTCTAATGGTCTCCCATTGCCCTATGAGGCATCACAAAACCCTTTATAGCCTGGATCCTACCTGTCTCCCCATCCTCACATGGCTCCTCTCCTCTTGAAGCATGAGCCACACGATTCTTTCAGTTCCTCTGATGGCCCATCTCTGACTTTCTTCCTGGCCCCCACACATCCTGTTCCTCCCACCAGGAACACTTTTTCCCCTTCTTGCAAATTCCCATGCCAAGAAATGAGTATCCTGAGTTGAAAAGACAGAGCCACATTGATAATGATCATTATTCCATATTGCATGTGTACGACTCTCCACATTTGTTAAGTTTTAATCAAATCCCTGTAACTACAATGATTGTATTTTGCAAACTAAAACTCTGAAGAATAGGACAGAATTTTGGACAATAAAAACTGGTCTAAAACAGGACCATCTTGGAGTATCTTGGCTTTATAACAGGCCATTTTGTGGCTTGTCCTCACAGGGACAAGGGACTGTGGTGTGATTCCCAAGGACAGAGGACAGCAGGTGCTCTAGGCACATGCCACACAAGGAGCTTGATATTTGGTCCAATGTTCTGGAGTAGAATGTTTCACTGACTATGAGTCTGGTAGTTTTCTCAGGCCTGCTCAGTGAAGAGGTGCCAGAAACAAAACACACACACAATCACACACACAAACACAAACACCTTTAGCACCTTAGGAGTGGAGATAATCTTTGAAATACCTGCCCAGAGGCAGTTCCCTCTCTTGAAGGAAGGAACAGAGAGAGCCCTCTGCTTGCTCATACCTGCCTTAGGACACAGCCTTATTGCCCAAGAACAGGGTATAATCAGGACCTTTGTCAGGGTTAAACAAGAAACCACCCACCCCACAGGGAGGAACAGGAAAAGTGGCTCCAGGTGTAGAATGAATGGACACAGACACCCAGACCAATTTGGACCCATAACTCCTGGGGCAAGTGGGCTGGGTTGTGATGGGATTTGGGCGCTAAGGAAGGTATCCTGGAACTCCAAGTGACAGACATCCCTGGTGGAACTTACCAGAAAGGCACTGAAACTATTTTCCCTCATAGATCCCTGAGGGCATTATGCTAAGTGAAATAAGTCAGACAAAGAAAGACAAATATGTGTATCATCTTATTTATATGTGGAATCTAAGAAAACTAGCTCATAAAAGCAGATCAGATGGGTGGTTGCCAAAGGCAGGGGGCAGAGTGGGTGTGGGAAATGGGTGAAGGTGGTCAAAAGGCAGAAACTTCCAGTTGTAAGTTCTGGGATTTAATTAATGTACAGCTTGGTGACTATAGTTAATATTACTGTATTATACATTTGGAAGTGGCTAAGACAGTAGATCTTAAAAGTTCTCATACCAAGAAAAATATCTGTAACTCTGTGAGGTAATGGATGTCAACTAAACTTACTGTGGTGATCATTTTGTAATAGATGCATATATCTAATCATTTATGCAATACCTCAGACCAACAGAATGTTATGTGTCAATTAATATATCAATAAAACTGGGAGAAAAGATCCCTGAGGACTTGTGAGTGAATGGGATCAACAGTGGCCCAGCATCGGCTGCTAGAATGTCTCAAATCCTGTTTCCAACGGAGGTGCCTGGTGGCCTGAGAGCCCCTAAAGCGAGAACAGCAGGCGGACAGCAGAACCTCCCTGCAGCCCCCTCAGGGTTTCTGGCCCTTATCACAGCCCTAATTTTACACCTCTTCCTATGCCTTCCTAGTAATTAAGGAAAAAATAATGGTTAGCTGGGACTTTGGGGAACCTCTTGTCCGCTTATTCAAGATTGCACAATGAATAACAGATCTGAGACTGAGACAAAAATAGTGATTCAGTAAAGATGGGTGGTGCATCTTGGGCCCACAGCGGTCAAGGACTGTTTCCGGCGTGGTTCTGATGGCCTCTGGTTCTGAGTAGAACTCCTGGAAATGACACCAAATCATATCAAGCCTGCATGAAGCCTCAGTGAGGAAGATTGGTATTTCAGGACACAGGAATGTGACGGAGAACAAGGCAATGCAACTAGACTTCATTATCCTAGTGCCTTTGATAACATACTGGAAGAGCAGGGCTGGGATCTGAATTAACTGGAATCTTCCATAAATGGAGTCTAAAAGCAGACTACACAACATCCAAAAACTCCCCAGAGAATTTCCTATTATGTACATGGAAGGGGGGGAATGAAGCAAGTCCCATCTGGCTGGGGAGAGAACATTCTCTGCTTAGTGAAACTTCATGTTTCTTGCGTTTAGTGCCAACTGCATGTTCCTACTGGACCCAGGCCCTGCACACAGAGGTGCGAGTGTACAGAAAAATGAGCTAGATGGGGCAGCCAGTGCCAGGCAATTCTTTGTTTCCAAAACATCAAAACCACAAGGCAAGATTAATAAGGTATCATTGTTATAAAGTCCTTAACTAGTTATGAGCCAATATTAGATCAGTGTTACTCAGAGTTGCTATAGCAAAATAGAGTGACAGTATCTTTTTCCAGTAGCTTCTATCAATACACAGCTAAAATCCAGAGCAGGCTGACATGCATCTCTACTGACTTTTGCTCAGTGCAACTGACACCCTCAGGGAAATCTCAGAACTTTAAGCCAATAATGAAATTAGCCTTTTTTGGAAATACAGGCGTAGATGGATGAGGTGTCTCAGCTCAAATGCCAGCTGCTCAAGGAGGCCTCCTTTGACAAGCCTGAAGCCCTGCACACCCTTCTTCCCCACGTAGTGGCCTCTAGTTACTCTGCAACACTTCACCTTTGATAACTATTCAGTTACCTTGTGAATTTGTACCCGTGTTTGTCCCTCCTCCCTGTTTGAGTGTAGACCCCAGAGGAACTGGGCCTGTTTCATCATTCTGTTCCTCAAAGCTTCAAGGCTGGCACAGAGCGAGCCCACGATAATATTTGACTAGCAGCCTTTCCAGTTGCTAAAGGACAAAGAGCTCAATTATCTGTAACTGAAGGCTTCACAGAGTCTAGAAAACCAGCACTCACTCCAATTCATCAAACACATCATATAGGAAATGAAAATAGAAGCGGTATGAATTAAAGCCATACCTAGAGGCAAAGTGCCCCGAAGCAGCACCTCTCCAGGTGTGGCCCGGGCCTGGCACCTTCATCGGCATTCGGCACTTGGTTAGAAAGGCAAACCAGGGCTCTGCCACAGACCCAGTGAACCAGAATACCAGAGGGCAGAGCCCCAGAATCCACATTTAATGAGCTCTCTAGGTGATTCTTATGTGCCCTAAAGTTTGAGTAACTGTTACTCAGAAATAAAAGTGAGAATGAACAAGAAAGATCACAAAGACTAGGATTTTGCCAGGAACAACTGGCACATTTTTGCTGTCATTTTGATTTAAAAAAAAAAATCAGGCAAGAGGAAGGGCATGATTTATATGCAAAACTATATGCATGAGTACGGCACTCTGCATGCAGGTGGACGCGGGTCACCAGATACCCGCTCCGCATCCTGTGCCTGAGGCTCCCAGACCTGGCCGAACAACCGGCACGGCGGCCACGCTCCTGGGGATGAAGCCCTGGTTTCACTTGATTTCCCTCTCCTCCCCAGGGGCAGCACCACCTGCAGCTCTCCCAGGACATTCTAACAGACGAGGCCACCTGCGGAAAGGCAGCGCAGAGGGAAAGCGGGCAGCGTTACCGCGGTTCAGGTGCCTGATGCAGTCACTCAGCAGAGCGCTGAACCTCCTCTGGTCGGCGGCCTCCTGGAAGCAGAAGTAGCTGTGTCTGAGGAACGGCAGCCACAGGTACACTGGGAATTCCTTTGGCAGGACCACGAAGGGCTGGGCGTTCTCCTTCTCACTGGACACTAAGGAAATATTGAAGACACAAAGATGTGTTAAAACGTGCATCTTTTATTTAAGTTCTTATTTGGGGCTGTGAGGGTAACTGTGCAGCAGGCCGTGGGATGGGAAGGTGGTGTGAGATGGCTTCACAGGGTGATGGAAAATGAGCTCAGGCTCCACGTGCTCCTTCCACCAGCTTCCTGTCTCCCTCCAGCAGGTGGCCTCACCTCCTACTCCTCAGTGACAGCCAAGGCCACCAGACAGCCTTTCTCAACTTCCTCACATTGGCAAATGACCCACAGTCAGGGCTTGAGCTTCCCCCCCGGCCCTCTTCAAGCTAGCCTGTCCTCCTGGGCAGACACTCACCCTCCTTCCCCATCAGCTCCCATTCCACCAGCTCTGTTCCCTGCCCTGCGCCCTCTCCCTCCTCCTTGTCACTGCAGACTGGCACTGGATATCTGCAGGCCTCACCCCCTAGTCTCACCTCACTCTTGTTCCGGCCTCGCCAGTCCCAAAGGCCAACTGTGGATGGAGGTCATTAACATCATCCAAACTGCCAGCCTGTGGCTTCTTTTTCATTCTCTGTCCTTTTAACCTGATCTGAAACATGTGTTGCTGCAAACCACCCCTTCTTTTGAAAACATTCTCTTCCTTTGACTTCCAGGATCACTTCTCTCCTGGTGTTCTTGATGCTTTTTAAAAAGTGTTTCTTCTTTGTCACCTCCGTGGTTCCGCAGCCCCTTCTCTCCCCTCCCCTGTCAAGCACTAGTGTTTGTCTTCTTCTGAGCTGGTTTCCCGCCCTCAGTCTCTGCTCAATATTGTCTCTTGTTTCTGCAGTTCATATTACCTTTTCTTTCTTCTTGTCCTTCATGTTTTCTCATAGAAAATTCTACTTGATCCTTCAAAAGTCAATTAAAAGCTTCTGGAGGGGCTTTGTTCGCACCTCCCCCTGCCAGCAGAGGCAGCTGGGTGTTCCCTCCCTCGTTCTCCCAAAATACTGTAGCGATCTGGCACCATGTGCTGGCACCCGCACTCAGGGTGGGGGACAAGGAGTGATATAGGCTCCCCCACTGGTTCTCACGTGCTTCCCCTCATGAGGAAGCAGAACCACGGCCCTGGAGCTCCCAGAGGGTGGCAACTGCACCTACGTGTCTCCATAGGCTCAGCCTGTGGTGCAGTCATGGAGCCTGTAGACATTCAACTGCAGTTTATTGAATGAACACATGTGATATGTTGCCCTAGGAAAATTTAAAAGCTTTTAACAATGGACTTTTTACCATTTCCCTCAAAATCAATTCTAAGAAACTCATGTTAAACCATGCTACTATTCAGATCTCCTACCTAAACTTTACTCCCCTCCATGCATTCCAGTCATAAGATACTGCACTTGGTTAAATGAGTCCAGCTTATTTCCAGACTCATGGAGAAAAGCAGCAGAAAAAATTGGCTCTGTGCTCCCTGCCTACATAATGAGCACCAATCTTGGGGAAAGGAAGGGAAGAAGGACCCTCTAAGGGGCCACTGAAAGCACTGAGGTTACCAAGAAATCGATCATAACCATAAAGGAGGCTCCAGACTGAGTTTTGCTGCTGGCAAATAAATAAATCAAGATTGGCTTAGATAAAGAATAGACTTCTTGGGGCATAAGAACATAAGAACAAATCAACGTATGAATGGACAAATAAATGAATGACTGAATGCTGTAGCAGAGACCTCAAGTTGTAACATATTATTTATTCTCCCCTTCTTTCCTGGTAACAAAACCCCTGATTTTTAGTTGACCAAGTGACTGCAGAGAATAAAGACTACATTTCTAGTCTCCACTGCAATTTGGTGTGCCGTAACCACTAAGTTCTGGCCAATGGGATGTGAACTGAAGAGGCAATGAAACGTCCTGGAAATATCCTTTAAAGAGGGAATGTCCCTGCCTCTTCCCCTTTTGTCCTTACTGTCTGGGGAGAGAAAGCCTTGGCTGGTGCTCCAGCAGCCACGTTGGACTATGTCAGTAAGGGCTACCACCTAGAGGTAAAGGGGGAGAAACTAGAAAGAGTCCCTGGTATTTACAGAACTGCCACACCAGACCTGGGCTTGTGATACCCTGACATTTTCAGCAAGATAATAAAACCTCATGCATTTAATTTGAGTCTTAGGTTGTATGCAGCAAACTGGGTTCTAATGAACAAAATGCCAAATCAGTGAATCACTTTAGCAAAACACGGGGGCATTATTGAAACATTTTTGTAGCAGAATACTATGTGAAGAAGACATAGTTATTCATTACCCTCTAGAATTTTTTTTTAGATAAGGCTAAATTCCTCCCATCTTTACTGTGTCTTTATTCTTTCAAGTAGAATTAGTATTATACAGTGAGTTCTCCAGATTAGCAGGGCTTCGTGAGTCAATTCTCCTCACCCTTTCCATGATGTCACAATTTTGTACAGACAAGTGAAAGTAACATCAACCCTCTGCATTAAAAAGTAAGAACCATAAAATTTACTCCTAATAGTTTGTAGTTATCTCTCATGTAACCTTTTACAATTTTCCAGATGCTATTAATTTGCATTTTTCTGAGTTGAGTGACAAAGATACCACAAATGACCCACTGTAGAGTATTCTATTTTTAAAACTCAGAAGGCCACACCATACAATAAAAGGGGTCATTGAAATACCCCACTGTGAAGCCTTGGGCCAAATGCCATTAGTCATACAGCCCTTTTCATTCCATCTGATATGATTTCATCAATAAATCAATAAATTTATTGTCTGTTTTGGCTAATTTCATTGGAAAGTTCTTTTGGAGAGATTCTCAAGAGTCAACATATTGGTATTCCCATTTCTAGCAATGGCTCCAAAGTCAAGAAATTATAGAAATAGATGTTGAAAGAAAATATAATAATATGTATAGTGCACATAAAGTACTGTTTTAGCTTGAATTACTGAGTAATAGTTTGTTAATCTAGGTTTATGGTCCATGTACTAATCTTATAATAGTATTACTAAAAACACTATACTAAGCATTCTGTGCCAAAACATCAATTGATAAAATGATTATCTTCTCCACAAATTCTAATGAAATGATTATACCCATTAATTAATAAGAACCACAGCTCTCTTTAAAAAACCAGGTAATTACTGTGTAGTATGATTTACACAAAGCCAGATGGAGTTACTACATTTCCCACAGCTCATGAATCTCCATGAAATGTGTTTAGTCTATATCCTGACCATCACTTTCTCTACGTGGAGGAAATGGAATGAATAAGAAGCAAAGTATGTTAGAACTGGGAAAATCCTTCTAGATTTTTAAATTGAAGGCCCTGAAGTTGGAGAAACAGAAACCAGAGAGAGTCAGCAAGAGCTAAGGAGAACATTTGGTAAGTGTCACAGTTTGAACTAGATAAAAATCCAGCCTCCAAATTCTCAGTGCAATGCTATGCTCTTTCCATGGCATCATTCAGCTATTATTTACAGATATGCTAATTAATGCAATGCTTTTTTTTAAGCCAGTAGCTATAAGTTACTATGACGCTCACTAAAAGTATTTTGTTGATTTACGATAATTTATTTGCATATCATCCTAAAATTTGGACCTGACAGGTCCAAGCTTGCTTACTGAAAGATGGGACTGTACATTTCACAGCCTAGGCCCCGTCTATTTATTTCTGCTGTTCTATGTAGTGCTGCTTAATCTTGTAATATATTTCAAAGCCTCAAGATGCCCAGTCAGTGGTACATTATGCATGTGCCAGAAACATAGTAACTGACTTGTGTATTACAGAATTGGGAAAATGTTTATCTAAATAAGATAAATTACATCTTTTGTTGGATAATGCAGGTCTCTCTAGCTCAGGTTATCTCACCATTGGCAAACTGATATTTCATGCTGGGTAATTCTTCATTGTAAGGGCCTGTCCTGGGCACTCTGATGTTTAACAGCATTGCTGGCCTCTATCCACTAAATGCCTGTAGCGCCACCCTCCCAAGTTGTGTGACAAACAGAAATGTCTTCAGACAAATGTCCCTAGACAGTGAAATCACACTCTCCCAGTAAGACCCACCAGTCTCATGAAGCAAAACACTTTAATGAATTTTGCCTTGGGAAAGAATGCAGCACTCACCAATAGGGTCTGGGAAAAGCCGATCAGACAATAAATTGTATTCATCTTCTGAGGTCAACACCTTGCCACCAGCTGGAAGAATTCGGCTTTTAGGAGCAGCTCCTTTCTGATAGGCCTGGAAAAGGAAAGGCATAAATAAGCAATTTTTCTCCCCTATTTGGACTTTCGGAAAATATCAGGAACATTAGAAATAGACAGACCCAGACACGTACACTCACAGATAGCAATTCCCATACTGTGTCACTAAGAGCCATTTATCCATTAATACATGTTTTGCATACTTGCTACTTGAAAAGTATTACCTGAGTACTTTTGTGTGATGGTCACAACATCATATGTCAAGGTTTCTAATCTCAGAGACATTTACCATAGGGTATGTTTCTCAAATGGGCCAAACATAACCTCAGCAACTTCTAAAAATTCTGTACCACATTTACCATTTTTGATGCTGGCCCCTTAATCATCTTGATAACCATAGGGTGATGAAGCACACAGACATTTTCTGCCCCAAATGCTTGGACTTTGATGACTCATGAGACTGTGGGACATTAACTGCAATAATTGTTGCCATAGATTTTCATCAAAACATAAAAACGTTGCCATGATAATATATGCTGCCACTTTGCTCTCAGACGTGGGACTGTTTTGCAGTAAAATGATCTGTGATGGAAGTGCGATATCGTGATATCAGAACAAATCCTGGCCAGCAGACAGAAGGCGCTGTTGTTTGAGAAACGTAAATGTTAAAGCAGTGTGTTAAGCAGTGTGTTAAGCAGATACACCCACAAGGCCAAACAAAGAAGATAAAATTTAAGGACGTACATCTGATTGGGGTGAGGGGAGGGCGGTTGCTTAAGGAAAAATATTGAAAATAACCTAAAAGCAAGTTGAGAATTGAAACCAAGAAATGGTGGGCTCCAAAATCTAGAATAATTAAAGCAACGTTGATCAGAAAAACAAAATCAGAATAACGTAACACATTCTGCATCAGTAAGATAGTGACTGAAGTGGCCCAAACAAAGCAAACTCTTGCACATCTAAGAAGGTTGTTTTCATACTGATAAAAACCACTAAATAGCTGCTTAAGCATATCAGAGAGAATCTCACCCGGTGTGGTTTTGAGAATGTCTAGGAGCAGTTCGATTCAGATTGGCCTCCAATATGAATTGTGTTTATAAGCCCCAATCTGGGATTTCATAAACATTGTATTATTTAATCCTCAAAACAGCACAATGAGCTAGTTATTATCTCCACTTTGTAAATGAGAGAAATGAAGCTCAAAGAGGTTAAATAATTTGCCAATGACCCATTGGTGAGTAGATGGCAACTTCAGGATTCATACCTGAGTCTGTGCAGCCCCAGTGCAAGCCAACAGGAAGTAGGAAGTGATTATCCAATGAGAATGCTTCATTTGTTCCTGCTTAGGTACCAGCCAAAACTGGACTCTCGATAAAATAATAGGCAATTTATAGGTACTTAATGTGCAATTTAGATGTAATTTTTAAAAATCACCCTCCTATAAATTTTTAAAGAGAGAATGAATATTATGAAAACTGAGGAATTATGGCAAACTGCATGGGACACTTTTTTTTTTTAATTTCTAAGGTTTAAAAAAAAATTGGTTATCACCCAATTCAGCCATCCTATCTAAACAACTGAACAAGTTCATTTGAAAATGATGAGCAAAGTAAAGAAAGCAGTATAGCCCATTAATAGCAAGTTGAGAGAGCAAGCTTTAAAAAAATGAAAAGAGTTAAAAAAAAAAAACACACCAAAATTTGACTCAGAATGAAACTCCAGTTAGTGCTAAATGTGGTAAGAATCTTAGTAAGTTCAAGAGCAAGCTCTAGGAGTGTTTCCTCCTGACTAGCTAGTAGCAATTACAACTGCTCTAGATTAGGCTCTGCTGGGGCTTGGTCAGATGCTAAGAGCATCAGTGCATTCATTTGTGCAATGCTTACAAAACATCGTAACAAAGGGATCAAGCTGACCATTTTATAGATGAGAAAACTGAGGTTCAAAGGGATTATGACTTCTATAAGGACACATATCCAGTAACTAGTAAAGGTGTGATTAATATTAACCATTATGCTATACTGTCTCCTCTCAAGCTTCCCTGAGCACTGTAATGTTGTCATACAAAACATAAGGTGATTCGTTATTATTTGTAGTGTGCTGATAATTTCCTTCTGAGAGCAAGGCAAATGTTGAATAAAATCCTAACGCCAATAAGCAGAGAAAATATTAGCTTAATGAATGCTGAAAAAAAATAAAACTATGCAAGAGAATACTGGAGCACTGCCTGGTAGCCTGTGAACTAAGTTTGTCCTGTATTTAATTCTTTTTTCCATCAGAAATGTGAAGGGAACTTATTGGTCTGTCAGCCTGAAGCCTCTTCCTAATGGTTTAACATCAGGGGTATTGCTCAGAATATCCATGAAGGTTGTCCTGACTGCTCTTGAACTTGGAGTCAAGAGAGCAGAGTTTTAAATATGTTACTATCTCTGCCAGATAAGTAGCAGCTATTCATTTCAAAGGGAGCTTCAGAATCTATGTAGACTAAAAATGTGTGCAGTATGAGATCTGGAAGGATCCAATGGGATCATAACTCTCTAGCGGAGGCCCCACCTAAAATTTAGCTTGCCAAATTCTCTGCCCAGTGTTCTTTTCCTCTATTCCTGCTTACATGGGAAAGGAAATGGGAACCAATAAAAACTGAAGTCCTCCCAGGTAAAAAGCACTTTACATATATTGCTTCATTTTCTTCCACATTTTAAAGATAAGAAAAATAATGAGAGAAATAGGAAAACGTTAAAAGAAAAAAATATCTGTAGGTATAAGTGGAATAAAGTATGTGAAATATTCTGAATTCCGAGGAACCCATGCAAATTAAATCATGATCTATTTTATTAACTAACTCCTTGGCAACCTGTCATATAGGAGGTTTATGAGTACGAAGACATGGAGACACAGAGCAGAGAGGAAGCGGTATCAGGGTAATGACTGAAAAAGACCTGGAGGGTGAATGATCATAGGACAGTTTCTGCACTGGTCACTCAGAATAACTTATGTTCACACTCACTTCCAGTTACTTGTTCAAAGTCTACGGTGCCCATTAGAGGGCAAGCATGTATCTTATCTACTGCTACATGCTCAGAACTTTAGATAACACTTGGCATGTAACAGGCGTTCCATAAGCATCTGTTAACTGAAATGAGTGCCTACATGAGTCAGGGCTTACTGAACAAATCTGTCTTGAAGGAGAGGGCATGCCAATCAACTCAATGTTTAAGAATATTGCAAGAACCAGTAGTAACAAGGAAACATCTTACCTCTTTGTTTTCATAGCTCTCCACAGCAAAATCAGTTTTAACCACAATGTATCGCTCCTTCCATTTCTTTATGTCTTCCACAAACTGTGACAACTCTCCTTCATACAAAACGGTTCCAGGCTCCAATGGTGGCTTAAAGAAGATGAATACAATTAATTATCACAATAAAAGATAACATACCACTGAGCTACCACTGAGTCCATCCATGGTATTTCAAGGAGTATTTTAGGAATATCTCTTGGGCTGAGATCCTGGGGAAACTGCAGCTTCGCCCGCCTCCCTGCATGTTGCCCTTTCTTCCCACGTCAACTGCTCAGGTGCAGTCCCAGGAGCCAGTGTTCAGTGGTTTCCTAGGCCCCAGTGCTCTGGGAACCCACGCTGGAAACGTGTTTGCTCTCTGGTAGAACAAGCAGGCCAGCCAGCAAACCCACCTCTCTACTTACAAGCCTGAGGATTTCTCACTAACTCTGGTGGTACGGGTGCTGTAGGGGAGTCTCTGCTAGATTCCTAGTCGGGTCTCCCCTTGGGCTAACTGTGTGAGGGATAATTCCCATCCTGTCTCATGTTTCAATGCCCTTATTATCTTAAAACATAGAAATGGGCCTCTTGTCTTTCACAGGTTGCTGAATTTACATCTATTTTTCCTTTATTAAAAAATCACAGTGCCTTTAGAAACTCATCTTTCCTCTTTCAAGCAAAACTTACAGGAACCATGCAGAGGTGATGGATATGCTGATCTTTTTAAGAACTGGCAAAGGGATGAAATAAATTCCCTTCTGAATTATTCTGTCCTGACAGACAATAAGACTGTCTCCTATCTTAACAGGTAAGAGGGGATCTCACCCTTCTCTTTAAGTGAGATGAAACCATAGATAAGCTGACTTTCTAGTTCTTATTGCAGCATTTCTTGAACTGGGACCACTTAAATCAACTGATAGATTTGTTAAAAATGTGACTTTACCCTAGACTTACTATATCCAAATCTCTGGGGGTGCAGGTCAAACGTTGCATTTTTAACAAGCTCCCTAAATTTTGAGAATCACTTTTATGGGGACAACAATCCATTGTCCCTATACACCCATGCTGCTAAATCGCAGCTCAACTCGACCTCTTAGCAGAGGTTTTACTTGTCCCACTTATCACTCCCTCCTTCTTGAAACTCCTTTTTTATTTGCCTTCTGGCACATTATCCTTTCCTGATTTTTCTCCTCTAGTAACAGTTATTCCTGCTCAGTCCATTTTTCTGGATCCTTCTCCTTTCACTGGTCTCCAAAGGTTGAAGGGGCCAGAGCTTGATTATGGAACCTCTTTTCTTCTCTGTGTTCTCCCTCCATTATGCCCCACGGCTTTCATACCACTTATATGCTAACCGACTCCCAAATTTCTATTCTGCAGCCTCAGCGTCTCCATTGAGCTCCAGATCCAAGCAGGCACTCCCTATTCAATGTTCCCACAGGTGTATGTCAAACAAACATTTCAAACTTACATGGGCAAAAGTGAACTTGTGATTCCTAACCACCTTTGACTCTTCCTCTGAGTAAAAGGCAACTCCATCCACTTACTTGCTTTGGCTAAAAACCAAGAACTCTTCATTGATTTTTCTCTTCTTCTGTCATGTCCTACCTGATCCATCAGTGAGTTCTGCCCACTCTACCTCAAGTACATCCTGACTGGGACCCTTCCTCACTACCTCTACCATCACCTCCCTGGTCCAATTTGCCATCATCCTTTTCTTGGGCTGCTACTACATCCTCCTTCCAGTCCCCATTTTCCCCTCTTGTCCCTCCCCATAGCCTATTCTGTAGAGAAGTCAGGAAGATCAGTTAAAATTATAAATCATTCTCCAGTAACTTCCCATTGTTCTTAAAATAAAAACCCTTATTGTGGCTTATGGGTTGCACATGGTCTGTCCTGCCTGTCACTCTGCAGTCATTTCTCATCCCTTCTCCCTTGCTCACACAGCTCTCAGCACACTAGCCTTCCTGGTGTGCTTATGACTGCTTCGAGGTCTTTGCACTTGCTGTTCCATCTGCCTGGAACACGCTTCCCACAGATATTTGCACAGTCTGCTCTATTTCACTCCAGTTTCTGCTCACATGTCATCTGCACAGACGGCATCGCTAAAATAAGACTTCTACTTTATTTTTCTTTGTAGCATTTATTGTCACCAGATATTTATTTGTTTACCTTCTTATTGTCTGTTTGCTACTTCTAAATATAACAAAAATGCAAAGAATTTGTCTTATTCCCCAGTTCTTAGAATAAGGCCTGGCACATAGTAATATCAATAAGTATTTGTTGAGATTGTAGTTATTATAATGGAGCAAAGGGGAAGAAGAAGTTGGGGGATTAAGAGAAAAAAATCATATTTCATCAATAATCAAAATAAAAATACCCATAGTATGAGGCACTGAAATTATGAGTATTTTTAATTGAACTTCACTTACAACAGATTGAAGTATCAATGTGGGAAAAACAAATAATAAAAGTGGATCATGCTAGCTTTCCTTTTATATGAATACCACCATCAATAAGAAGCCATATATTCTAACTTTGAGGCAAACAAGAGTTTTTTAAGCATGCAATCATTTGAGAACAGATTTTTTCTTCACTGCCATTCAAATGACTGTTTATTTCAGAAACATTATGACTTCCTCTTCAGTGAGAGAAATTTGTAAGCCAAATGTCTAAGGGTTACCTTGGTCTTCAGAAGCTGTGATGTGAAATCCCTTTGCTGTTCTACTTCACTGCGAACATGGTTGCAGAAAGCCACCGAGTACTGGCGACTGTAGTAGGGACTGAAGTTTTTGATGGTAGCCTCAGTTTTCCCTGGAAAAATAGGAAAATCAGGATTTAGAAGAGTTAGCATCTCTCACAGAATAAACGCATAACCACATAATTCTATAAGCTCTCCTCCTGTCTCCCTTGCACGACTATTCCCCAGGGATCTGCTGTTGGCCACATCACATTCCCTGAGACCTTCGATACATGCTGCATATGCTTCATCTGTCCTCTTCTGACATCATCCTGAGAGATACTGTCATCCCTAAGACCATCCGTCCGATAACCTATACAATGTTTCTTCATTTTAAATCAACAACTCGTTGCCATGGTCATAAACTCAACCATCCACCCTGCCCTCCCCTTCGACTTGCTCTTCATTCCTCTCTACCTCCCATCATTCAACTACATTAACAATAATTCCAGGACCTACCGTTTCAACTCCAAAAAAATCACTCCAGTTTTTTTTTTCAAATCCCTGCGGTTCCACCTCTAGTCATGCTGATCCATAGAACTGAATAAAATCAACAACATTGTTTCTGCTAGTTCTACTCCCATGTTTCTGGTTAAAAAATTTTTGTGTGTGATCCAAAGCATCATTTAATTACAATGAGGTAGAGGGAAAAGCTTTGGTTTAGGAGTCTAGAAACGGGTCTGGTTCTGGTCGAGTCTGGTCCCAACTCTGCTGAGACAGAAACCAGTTGTATGAGCTCAGTCATCGCTCATTCTCTCCAGGAGTCCAGAGTCCCCAACTATAAAGGAAGGTGCTCACAAGTTCACACTCTTCTTAGAGCCTCCCTGATGCTGAAGCGTAACTCTGGATGTCCATAGCCGCCTCATTGTAGCAACCAACAACTGCACTACGATCTTTCAGCATCAGAAGAAAATTAAACCGACGACCAGCCACGTGGTGGGAGCATGAGGACTTGAGATGGGAGGAGAGAGGGGGTGTCAGGCACTGGGGATATTCTTGAGCTTTTCCAGCCTATGCTTAGCTTTTCAGAGAAGAGGGAAATTGCAAAGGAGAGAAAGGAGAAGGAGAAATAGGAAGAAAGGGCAAGGGCATGTTCTGAAGCAGATTAGAAATCTTCACAACCTCCCAAGGACTTGCTATAGAGTCTAGAAATAAATACAGGTCCACTGACTGGGTGTACGAGCTTTTAGTCCTTGGAATGAGATACTAGGTTGAGAAAAAAATAAACTTGACATAACATTCCACAATATTTTTAAATACTTTCATAGGAACTTGGCATAATTTTTGTTTTTCAAATTTGATATATTCATGGAGAAATATTAATATGTAACATACTGGCAGGACTGGTTTAGAACTATTATGCATGTAAAATTTCAAAAATAAGTGAAGAGTTCTAACCACATAGATAAGAACTTTGAATCCTTAGCTATCAGCCTCTACAGGTATGAAATCATAGCCCAAAACACCCTTAGGACATGTATACTCTGCAGATGAAGACTCCTACTTTAGCTCAAGGCATTTAGGTTCCATGATATGTATGAGGTAGAGGGGAATTCTTGCTTATTCCCTTGATAAAATGCCATTTTCTGGTCATATTTTTGGGCCTTAATAATTATTAATTGTAAAGCGCTTTGAGACCCACTAATAATAGGTTCTGTAGAAATGCAAATAAAAGCACTTATAATTTGAATCAGGCATGCTTTTACTTGCTCTCTGAGTTTATGGTATTACTATTAATCAGTATTTGCATAATACTTTAATCCACGCAGGCTTTATAGCTATCTAAAGCTATCTAATTGGTTATTATTTTTGTTATCTTTTACACAGCACATAAGAAATAAAATTGTATATCCTTATCTATTATTTTCTTATATAGGAGTGGGACATCTTTGAGAATTCCCACAATGAGACTGAGTCTCACCTCACTGAAATATATAAACAATTAACAAGATTTGCCCTTTCAGTCTGACTGATCATTATTGTGTTTAGCAGAAGAGAAGCCTATTAATTTCTGATGCTAATTTTTGCACTCTTGCAAGCACCTGGATTTAAATGGAAGGAGGTGGATGTCATTTTATGAGGAGCTCTACACAGCTTTGAAAGCTGACTTCTTGCCACATCACAAAGCCTCCCTCAAGGTTGCCCTCCTTCTACTGAGGTTCCACGATGCTGCCACTCCCAGTGAATGAGTAAAATGCTCCTGTGATTTGAATGTCTGCAGATGGCTCCATGTACCCAGCATCCACCAGGCAGCATTTATTAAAAAAGAAATTACAGCTTCTTTGGGTAGGTGACCTAAATTAACCTAATGATTGGTTCAAAATATGACTAAAACAACTAATAACATCACAATTTCTAGGGGAAAAGAACCTAAAGTGATGCCTACAATATATATACATTTTAGATTGAGTCTATCTAAACCAAATAAAGGAATGTCCGAGGAAGAGATCTTGACAAGTAGAGCAAAGCCTGGTGTTGGGCAAAATACCACTGGGTTAGGAAGATGGACACTGGAGTCAAAAAGGTGAGTTTGAGTCCCATCTCTACCACTTACTAACAGTGGGACATTCTGTGAGTTACTTCATAAAAAGGGAAGACAGCAAGAGGAGTAATCTCATAGTGTTATTGTGTAATTATATCAAATAATGCAGAAAAGTGCTCAGCACTATAGCTGACACATAGAAAATGTTCAATAATCCATTGTAGTTATATCAGTGACGACAATCGTGATGATGGGCACACAAGCCAACCAGCAGAGGAAGGTCTGTGAGCTGAACTAAGAAATCAAGGAGAAGACAAAAGCAGGTTGTTTTCTATCATTTTAACTGGAGCCATCCTGCCCTGCTGCATACAGGACAGCCGTCCCACTCATTGCATGCTTGAAGCAAACAGCCCACATTTTCACAGATGTTTCAGGAACACTTACCAGCAAGTTAAAGACCCTCAGTGCATCCCTGGATTAAAGCCAAGTAAATAAACATTATCTATAATGAGCCAAATCAAAAAGCATGAGTTAGTAGCTGCGTTAACACTGAGCTTCTCTCTGAGACAGGCTACAAATTATCATTCGATTCCTTTCCCCAAGGCCCATATTCAATCATCAGATCCTGCCACTTCTATTTCAATATTATTTCTCGAATACATCCCCTATTTCCCCATCCCAACCACCATGCCTTCAATCAAGTCTTTATTATCTCTTTAATTGCCCTTTCAGTCTGACTGATCATTATTGTGTTTAGCAGAAGAGAAGCCTATTAATTTCTGAGGCTAATTTTTGCACCTTTGTAAAAGTCTCCTAATCTGCCCTACACCAGTATCACAGCAGAGCAAAAAACTTAGTAACTCTCAGGTTTAAAAAAGGAATAAAGGACACTTGGGGAGTGTCCAAGCTGATACACAGATCCTGGAGGATGATGGGAAATAAGCCAAAACCTGGTCTGTGTGGTGGATGCAGATTCTGGGAAGTGGCCAGAGTGAGTTCAGGGCTAACGGGACAGAAGAGGAGAGGCTAAATCCAAGCTGGCCACGGTGGTTCCACTCAAGAGAAAGCTGGCACAAGTTACCGAGGCCCAGGTGTTGGAGGGGGAAACCATCCTTCAGAACCAAGTCTTGCTATGAAACTCTTTTCAAAGCCACAGAAGCACAGTCCTCTGCATCCTGGCTGATGAATCACATTTAACATGTTGCTGCAAGATCATGTCACTACCTTCATAAACTCCTTCAACAGTTCCCCACTGCCCAGAGTAGAAACCGCTTAGCCTAGCACCAAAGGCCTTATGATCTGGCCCCAATGGCCCTTATTTCCCATTTCTGCTCAAACTAAGCCTCTAGTCCCTTGTATGCGTCCATGCCTTCACCCCTTCTTTCTCCCCACTAAATGTCTTGTCAGCCACCGTCAGACCCTTCAAGCCAGGTGACAATCCTAATCCAAGAAGAAGCCTTTTGGGTTCTCTCCAGTGAGACACAATCCTGCCTTTTGTGTTCTACCAAAACTGTGCACCACGTTTGCTACAGCTGTTTAAACATAGCTTATCTTTCCTCTCAGGGTATACTGTAGTATCAGCAAATATTTGTTGACTGAATGGATGGTTAGGTAAATATTTAAAAGTAAAGCAAAGTACAATACATCATAATCACGAACCCATGCCAAATGTCCCAACAAAGGAGAAAGGCATAGTCCTCAGCTGGAATATTTATTATTAAAAATATATGTTCTTGAAGCTCAGTTCGTTTTCTGAAATTAAGACTCTTACTGGTTAATTCCTTCTCAGCTTAGATGAATTTGTCCATGAAAGTATTTGTGGGGAATTATGTACTAACAAAGGCCTTTGCTTTTCTTGATGGATGTATAAACATGGAAAATATATAAGGGTCTAGGTAGAACTTACATGAAGCCTGAAAAGCCCTCAAGATTTGTATATTTTCTCATTAGAGAAGGTTCTTTGTTAACTTTCCAGTTCTGTAGTAGTTCATCTCAAATGCAGTCTTTTTTTTTTTTTTAGCAAATAATAACTGTGTATTAGGACATAAAACAAGTTTTAACAAATTGCAAAGGTTGTTATCCTATAGGACCATAGGCTTAAAGCACCATGCAATTAAGTCAGAAATAGATTTTTTTAAATTTATTTATTTATTTTTGGTATCATTAATATACACTTATATGAACAACATCGTGGTTAGTAGATTCCCACCATTATCAAGTCCCCACCACATACCCCATTACAGTTCAAATGCAGTGTTTATTATTATTTTTCTTCCCTGAAAGATACTGTTCAGAATAGATTACTCCCAGTTCCCCATCATTCTAGTGTCAATACAACTATGATGTATTCTAAAATCTCTGAAATATGCAAATTCCTTCCATTTCAATCACTTTTGGAAAAGCAGTTCATAAGTACAGAAAGGTATTTTTAAAGTCCAAACACTATTTTTGCTATATTTCCTTCTGATCTTTGATACAATTATTTTTTGAAGTAGTTGAGATTATTATATTTTGTATCCATTTTATTTACTTAACATTTCACCTTTGGTTTTTTTTCTATGATATTACTAAAGGGGGGAAAATCACTCTTTT